CTTGAGTGCCAGCTTCTGACTCCACTGTGACACAGGCACATTTTTATGCTCCAGAGGAGGTTTTTTTCATCATGAGACACCCAACAAGAGTCAGGAGCAGCTCTTCTGATCAAAAGGAATCCGTGCCAGAGTCTGCAGCTTGTTCACCCTATCCCTTCATGCTGCTGTTCACTGAGAGGCTGCTCTGCTCTGCAGTTGCCTCTTGAGAAAGGCAGAGCAAATTCTGCACTGTGCAGTAATAGATTAATAACAAATGTCCTGTTTGTATCAGTGGAAAAGGAATTTAACTATTCCTGTGACACAGAAACCTCACACACAGCAGTTAGCAATGCTGAGATTTGTGAATACTTCACTTATTCCATGAGTATGGGTGTACCTGGCCTTGTCCTGGTGCTGATCAGTGTTGTAGAATCATAGAATAGTTAGGGTTGGAAAGGACCTTAAGATCATCCAGTTCCAACCCCCCTGCCATGGGCAGGGACACCTCACACTAAACCATTTCACCCAAGGCCTCGTCCAACCTGGCCTTGAACACTGCCAGGGATGGAGCATTCACAGCCTCCCTGGGCAACCCATTCCAGTGCCTCACCACCCTAACGGGAAAGAATTTCCTCCTTGTATCCAATCTAAACTTCCCCTCTTTACATTTTAACCCGTTACCCCTTGTCCTGTCACTACAGTCCCTAATGAGGAGTCCCTCCCCAGCATCCCTACAGGCCCCCTTCAGATACTGGAAGGCTGCTATGAGGTCTCCACGCAGCCTTCTCTTCTCCAGGCTGAACAGCCCCAACTTCCTCAGCCTGTCTTCATATGGGAGGTGCTCCAGTCCCCTGATCATCCTCGTGGCCCTTCTCTGGACTTGTTCCAACAGTTCCATGTCCTTTTTATGTTGAGGACACCAGAACTGCACACAATACTCCAGGTGAGGTCTCACAAGAGCACAGTAGAGGGGCAGGATCACCTCCTTCGACCTGCTGGTCATGTTCCTTTTGATGCAGCCCAGGATACAGTTGGCTTTCTGGGCTGCAGGCGCACACTGCTGGCTCATGTTCATTTTCTCATCAACCAACACCCCCAAGTCCTTCTCCACAGGGCTGCTTTGAATCTCTTCTTTGCCCAACTGTAGCTGTGCCTGGGATTGCTTCGATAGAAGCAATGGTGTTAATTTTAATAATGCTTTGCTTGTATTTAACAGATCAATTAAAGTTAAAAAAATAACCAGTATGTCATGAGCAGCCTGAAAACCTTCTCAATCTTAAGCTCATTTTCTCTACAGATCTTGTAGAGACTATTAATTTAAACACAGGGTGAGGGTAGGATTTCAGCTGCAGTGCTGCATCATCTGTATCTGCTCCCTGGCAGTCCTGGCATCTCCAAACACACTTAGTGACTTCAGCCCGCTCCCTGTGTAGACACTGCAATAAGTAACTAACCACTTAATTAGAGTTTAAGTATTAAATTGATCTGTTCTGAAAGCTACAAGTGTAGGAGGTGAGTTTTGTGAAGACAGGAACAGCATTTGCTGAATGTGCTTTGGATAGCTTCAGCCAAACCATGAGTGAGTGTGCTTTGGGTTGAGAGATTGAAAAATGAATCTGTTTTCCATGGGACTTGGCTGTTTTTCCACTGGCTTCCACACTACTTTGGAGCAAGACCACAAACGTTTTGACCTTTTCCATTAAGGAAAGCAGCCGTGTGTCTCCAAGGCAGTGGCAACCATAAAGTACAAAGTTGTGGCTTCTTTTTAGAGAACTGAAGAGCAGCAACTGAAGGGCAGCTCAGAACCCCAGAAAAGGCAGGAATCCTGGAGCACTGTCCTTACAGCTTGCTGACTTCCAGTGTCGTGGATGTGTGAAGGAAAAAGCCCTGCTGCAGCAGCCCTGATGAGCGTGAGTCTCATGTTGTGAGCTCCTGGCTGACCATCTACAGCTGCTGAACAGAAGCCATAAGCCTTGTAAAACCAAATGTCCATTGAAATCTTTTCACTACAGGAGAAAAAAAAAAGGCAGCTTGGGATGCAACATTCCCAACGCTCCCTAACTCACTCCTGGCTTCTCCCTGGGTTGGCAGAGGCAATGCAAAGAAAGCAGGAGCCAATAAGGCTCCTCCCCAGGCAGCTGAAATAAAGCTGACTAATTGGTAGGAAAAATCAGATTCTGTGTAACTCGGTCAGCATCTGACCATCAATTTTCTTTGATGTGAAACTACTCCTTGAGGGAATTGAGTTGCTCCTGTCACTTGTGTCGTGATAACCACATGTAACAAGTAAGTAACCATCAGCTTTATGTAACGTTTGGGCATAAAACTGGCATGTCCTTCACTAGAGAAGAAATAAATGATTATCCACACATGGTGAAACTGAGGCATCAAGAGGTACAGTCCCTAACCAGCGTTGTTCACAAACTCACTGCTCCAGCTGTGTCTGGCTGTCAGCTCTCCTGACTCCTGCTCTTTCAGCACATGCCGCTTCCATGTTATCACTGCACACAGGCAGCCAGTGGCAAAAGACCATGGACTTGTCTTTCCCACCTTTTGAATATGCAATAGCAATGCTCAAATATGGCTTCAAATGTTCTGAACTTTTTACTGACATGAAGGAATGCTCCTCCAGGTGAGGGAAGAGGCAGACCCTTTGTCTGGAAAAAAACTGGAATTGTTTAAAGAAAATAGCCCTCCTCATTGATTCAAATGGAGTAACTGAAATGCTGTTAATAGCTGTTAGTGTGGTGATGAGAAGCCCTACTTAGTGAGTCTAAAGGATTAAAGCCCTACTTAGTGAGTCTAAGAGATTAAAGATTTGAACTCCTCAAGACCCCCTCCAAAACCTCCTCCTCAACCCATCGCCTGCCCGGCTGACTTTAAACTGCCAACACCGCCAAAAAGGGGACGTTGCATCTCTTACAAACAGCCTTTTGTTTGCTGCTCTGACACCTGCGAAAAGCAAAATTGTTATTTTCTTGCTGCTTGTTGCTAGTTTGATGCCCGCTCTGGGGCCCTACATCAGAGACACTGTTCAAAACAGGTTGCAGGGGTCCGTTTCTGTGCTGTCTGCCGATGGTGCTGCCTGAAGGAAAACCATGGAAACGGAGTTTGACAGGCTCGCGGGGACCCGCGGCTGCCAGAGCCGCTGCCTTTGAGCGCCTGATGAAGACATCACAGAGCAAACACAACATTAAAACACTGCCGGCTGCTCTGCATCACTTAGAATGCAAATCTCTTTGTTCTGCTCGGCCCTCACGTTTGGTAGCCAAGGAATCCGTGCCGTCATCTAACATGGATTTGACGACCTCGTTTCCCTCATTGTATCACCTTTCTCTCTTCTAACCCCCCATCCCACCCCCCCCCCTAGGAAAAAACCCTCACCATTTCTTGCAGGAGGGAGGCTTGTGTGAGGCTGAACGGCTTTTCGCCATTTCTGGGATTTCTAGGCACAAACTCGGTGCCCGTATTGCAGAGCGGAGTGGGCTGCATTGCTTCGTTGCTCCCTGTGTGTTATTTGACTTGAATTCATTTACATGGCAACTCGCAGGGGTAAATTTTATGTCATCTTTATGTCACAGATTAAAAGGCAAAAGTAATCCTTTATTTGAGCAGCATGTACCTTCTGACCTTCAAACCATACAGCTGAAAACAGAGGGGAAAAAAACAGGCCTTCTCACACTTGTAATTCCAGTTTTGTCATTTCTTAGGCTAAATTTGAACTATGCAGTTATTAATTCAACCCCCCCCTATTGTAAGTAGGCTGTAGTTTAGTGTTACTTCCTGACTGCCTTAGCCAGGGTCAACACTTCAAAGTGACCCATGCCCTGGTGCTCAGACGTGCCATTTTGGTAGCTCCTGACAAGAAGAGGGCATCCAGGAAGGGTTTTGTGCTGGTTGGAGAAACCCTGATCCTAAAAATACAGCTGAAGACCTTATCAGAGTAGCTTCTTGGGAAGCTCTGGGAAGCTTGGGCTCAAGGGCCCCAGAAAGTGGCCTGTGACCTGTCCTTGTCCAGACTTGGCAGTAGATGAGCCATTTCATGGAAAAATGAAACTGCTGCCTCATGCCTCATGTTTTCTTTATAAAGCTGGTGTCCATAGGGAATGAGCTGTAGAAAGGCCACATTTTTGCCACCCTCATTTTGTGTGGATCAGTTCTACAACTACAGATATGGGATAGACCTGAGGTTAAAGACATTTCTAAGTCATGGCTAAGTCCTTTTCCTTTCCTTGCCCCTGCCACAGTGGATGCTGGTCTGTGTCATCTGTGAATCCAGCAAAATTAGGCATCTTCATACAAAACCAGAAAAGAAGTCTGTTTGGACAAGGTTTTTCCAGTGAGCAGCTCTTTTCTGCTTCCAGTACTGGTCCAAAGCTGCTTTGAGTCTCTTTTCCAGCTACAGCCTAGGAAAAGACACACTTTACAGCATGGATTAACTGTCTCTCCAGGAACTATTATTTGTGGGTGAAATCAGGTTATTGGAAAATACAACTATACATCTCCATGCAAGTGCTGAGGCCAAGTCACACAGTCCCCAAGGAGATCCAGGTGCTCTCACTTCTCTCTGCTCCCCTAAGCTCCTTTGGGTTATGCAAGTCGTTCTGTCTCCTTTTACACTCTTTCCCACCCTTTTTCAGGCTGACTCCTGGAAAGACCTTCAGTTTTCTCACAGACTCACTGACTCTGCTTTTCCTGATTCAAATCCCTCTGCAAGACCTTGCAGAAATGACATTTTAAAATCACCATTTTGAGGCCACATTTTTCCCCTGCCCATTGATGTCCTCTCCGTTTGAATTGCAGGGTTTAGTTTTGACTGTGAGGCAAAGTTGGCAGGTTCTTGACTAACCCAAAGTCAGGTCAGAAAAGAAGAATGGAAACCAGAAAGGGAGCCCAGAATATCAAAGCAGAAGACAATCAAATTTCTGTGTCAAAAAGAGGGCAAAACTGAGGATGTGGGACTTCTTGCATGAAAAAATCTTGTAGGCAGTTACTTTTTCCCCTCTTCCTTTCTCTCACAGTGGGACAAATTCCACTTTTTTTCCCAGTTCATCTGTAAAACATGAGGAGCCAGCTGAGCATAGTGTTGGTTCAGAATGAGAGCAGCTGACAAGGGAAAGGTAAAAGGAACTTGTAACTGCTGCAGTTCTAAGAAATTATTTCAGTGTGACAAAAAAATCTAACAACTTCCAAAGGATGCAGGAAGGCACTAGGACATCATCCAACATTCCCTAACATAGCAGCCTCCAAGGTATAATTAATGCATTTAAACACAGGCCACCAACTCCTGTTGTCTCGTGTTTTCTAGAGGTGCCTGATCCTGTTGTCCTCTCATGCTTGGTTACAAAGGGCTGCAAACAAGGAGGAGGCAGCTCTGAGAGTGGGAGCAGAGTTAATGGTCAGAACTTGGGTGCAGGTGGAAAAGCAGGACATGAAAGAGAAGCTTGGATAGAAAAAGTCCTGGACCTACTGCTTTAGCTTACACATAAGATGTTGGGGGTATTTTGGGGGGTGAATTCTAACTCGCATGCTCTTTTATATATGTTGCAGACCGCTGTGTGTTACTTTGATTCAGGGACCATGATACCCAAAGCCTGCTCTTCATACACAAGGTACCTTCCAAATGTTCCTTCGTTCTCAGAGACTTAGAAAATTAATCTTCAAGGCAAACTGTAAAAGACCAGATCATGAGCAGCGTGTGGAGCTGCCCATGGAGCACCCTGCTCCTCTCTGGCTACACCTCCTCCTCCAACCCTAGCTGTTTCTCCATCTCCTTAACACAGAGAGGTAGAATGGCACAAAGCATTTCCCAGGGAATTGTCCCCATTAATAGTGACAACAGTGCTGAAGTGGAGCCTGAATCCCATCAGCGGGAAAGCCCCCTCACATCCAGACAGCAGCACTGATCAGAGAGTCTGGGACTCCCAGGATGTTACAGTGTGCTATTAGAGAGGGATATTCAGAAACAGTCTAATTAGTTGCATTTTCTTTTCTAACCTCAGTCAAAAACCAGTCAGATTCTGCTTTAGATTTTGACATCCTATTAAATGCAGAACACAGGCCAATAGCTTTCATTTTCCCCTGTGATGCTACAGACTCCTGTTTTTATAGTTTGACAGAGAGACATAATTAGGCCTCAGAAAGGACAAGTCTAGACTATTAGTTCCCCACAGAGGCTCCCTGGAAAGTCAGAACCCACAATTATTCTCCACTTTCCCACTGAGGCAAATTTGTGGGTATCTATCTGCTCTCCTGCCTCTGATACCCTGCTCATAACCTTTAAGCCTGTGACTTTACACTCTGTTCTCTTAAAGGGCACAACAACAGACAGGTGTTGGACTTTCCAAAGGGACAAGAGCAAGGTAAGGACAATATATAAGGACTCACACTATAGGTGTGAGTGCTTTTCAGTGCTGTACCCAGAGCAGCATTGTATTGCCGTATTTCTGCCCCCTTCACTGCTGCCCAGCAGAATTGGGCTTTAGCACAAAAGTCATCACCAGAGCAAGGCATTTACTCACACTCGTTTCCTGGGGTCCTTGCCTAGTCTCCTCCTCTGCTTCCGAGTTACCTACAGCTTCACATTTTGTTCCTCAACAACCAGGAAGCAGATTCAGTCTCTGGATACTACAAGTCCCTCCCTCCTTAGTCTTTCTTTGCCAAATTGTACTACCAGCTCCCTCTCGCTTTTGGTTTCCAAGTGCTTGGATGGTTTCTGTACCTCTCCTGTTGAGCTGCAACCCTGGGCACGCCTGATTAAAATGAGATCTCATCCTCAATATGAGCACGGAGCTCTGGGCCTTTGTTTTTCCAACAGCATCATATTTCAGATGCATCTTCAGTTCATAATCCCCAGTAATCCTCAGATCCTAGTGTGCCTAGCCAGCAGTCCCTAATTCTGTGTAAACCACTTTACAGCTGTCTTCATTATATCTCATGTTACTGTTTTCAAGCCATTTCCCCAATCTATCCACATTGTACTGAGTTTTAATCCTATCTTCCAAAGTGTTCTTCAACACATTGCCTGGGAATTCAACTCACAAGGAGTATCAGCTCCTGCTCCCTCTTTCCACCTGCTTCCCACCAGTGACCTGGGTGCACAGTCTGTTCCTGTGCCAGGGATGTGCAGTGCAGGAGATGCTGATGGTGCCTTTTTTTCCTTGCAGCATGTTCCTTGCCTGTGTGAGATGGCAAACCTTCTCAAGACTATTTTGCCACATGGAAAGCCCTGGATACTTGGTACCACAGAAATGAGTCAAAATTCTGGGCAGAGCTTATCTGCTTCTCAACAAGTGCAATTAAATGTTTTCCATTTCTAATAAGCAAGGATTAGTCTTCACTTTGGGTTACCACCCCCCTACTAGGTTGCAGGAGGAACCAAATCACTCTATCAGCCAGTGGTGTGCAGCTGCTAAATATCCCCATCACTGACACTGGCACCTTTTCCAAGCCAAAAGGGCATCGACCATGGAGAGCTGTGCAGATGCTGACTGCAGCACAGCACCCTGTAAGCACTCAATTAGCCTGGCCACTTGTGCTCAACATCTCAAGCACACAGTGGAAGTAAAATGCTTACACAATCCCTCTGCCTACAAGGCCTTGAAATCTTTATGGGGCCTGGCTTTGCTGCCTGGTTTTCCACTGACAGGCTGATGGAGACATCACAAATCTCTCCAAATCACTAGGCTTCTTTCAACATCAAAGGTGTCAATGTTCACTCTGCCTCGGAGCCTGGGGCAATATAAATCACACTTGAATATGTGAACTGAGTGTCTGAGGTTAAACTCTCTGTATATACAAATATTTCTCCTTGGGTAACTGATATTATTGTACTGTTTCTTCATCAACATTAAATATTTTCTATAAATCGTAATATTCCAATGGAAAACAAAGCCTTACAGGTGAAAAAAGGGGGAAAAAGGGATGAACGAGGGTGTTGTGGGAAGAGAATAACTCATTTGAAATATACATTGCCATTATTTTGGAAGAAAAATCAGTGAACTGATGAGGTTTTTTGTTGCACTCTTTCAACATCCATCGTTAGGTTAATGTTGTCTTGGACTGAATTGAGTCTCCAGCCACAGGGATGTGAAGCCCTTTCCCTGGACCCTCTTTGGTGTGTCTCTTCCCAAAAGCTCACGCCTGCCCGCCCCCCACCACACACACTGCTTCTCCCTGCAGAGCTTCGGCAGTGGTTGGCACGTGGTGCACCAGATGCCATATCCTGGCTCAAATCATGGGCTGGAGAAGGCACAACGCCTTGGTGGTGGCTGCTGGGAGAGCCTGATTCACCCTGACTGGCACAGTTGTGGCACCTGCGTGGGGGGTCTCCACTACCTCCAAACAGGAGACAGGACAGCTGGGGTTGTCAGTAAATTACACTGCACAAAGACAGCTCTCGTGCCTGCCCAGCCTTCTGCAGGCAGGGCCCTGGCAGGAGCTCCCGTGTCAGCGCTACATCAGCACATTTGCACAGCGCCTGCACCGCTGCCAACTGGCCCTGCCCTCTCCGAGCAGCAGCTGAAAGCACCTGATGCTGCTGTGGAGAGAATTTGGTCCAGCACCTTGCAGGGTATTCAACAGATATCCTGTGGGAGAGAGTGCCAAGTCCCCAGGGGTTTTGCTGTTCCCGGGAAAGAAATGACTATTACATTCAGGCTGTTGGCCACCCAATAGGCTTTCTCAGATGCAAGCCTCCCTGCACTCACAATAGCCAGTTCCATCCCCCTGGTTCAGCAGGACAGGGAGTGCAGCAGACGGCAGCTTAGCAGCCTCTGCATCCTCCTACAAAGCACACAGCTCACTGCCCCACCGCGACTGCTGCTGCACACATCAGAGAGGGATTTTTCCCTTGGGCAGCCACCCAGCCAGCCTCCAAGGCTTTACACCGAGCAGGAGCAGGAGCTGGGAAACTACCTGGTCTTACATGGTGTGGGTTTAATGAATTTTTTCTTTATGACCTCTGCAGTAAATTGCCTGTGCTCAGCATTGTGTTGGAGTAAGTAACACCCGGCAGAAATTGTCGCGAGGCAGTAATTGCGGAGTAGCTGTCGAAGATCTCTGTGCCATCAGGCAGGGATTTTCATTTCATACATTAGTCACAATTTGCATATAATCACAGGCATAGTTGCATACAATCAGTACAGCCCTTTGAATGTGAAGAAGGGAAAAGGGGAGAAAGCTGCCCAGCACTGGGGAAATGCATGCAGTTGGTGTGGGTTGCGTGGCTCTCCCTATCACCATTCCAGCCACCCGGGGCTGCACTGCTACTTGAGTCACACACCCCTAACACAAACTCGGGGATTAAGGCAGGAAAAACATGCTTGCCTGACCATTTTTGGAAGGTTTTAGTGAGCATCCGGTGGATTATACACCAGGTTTTCCATTACTGCCATTGCCCACGCTGCAGTGATGACAGACCATCCTAACACAAAGGATCTTTTCTTTCTAGAAAACTTCATTACAAATATGGGCTCCCCAGAGGGATGGGGGAGTGTCTCTCCTTTGCTCAGTGATGCCTACGCACATGCACCTACAGCATTCCAGATACCTCAGTAACAGTCAATTTTTTATTCACACTGCACTGGCATCCTTCCTTCTCACTCCCAAATGTCCCTCAAGACCATGTTGGTATTCTGATTGCTGTCAAATGCACCAAGAAGTTTCCTTACCTTCAGACGTCTCAGCTTTTGGATGCTCTATAATGAGTTGGCTTTGGTTCCTGATTCATCCCATGGCTCCTCATTGTTGCAGCCGTCACAGCATGAGTGAGGATGTCAGCCTGTGCTGTGTGATCTTCACCCTGGCAGGAGAGACAGCCACATCATGGACAGCCACACAACCGAAAAGGTCAATCTCTTCTGTTGCTGTTGCAAAACCAGCCTGTGCTTTGGCAGGCTGGGGGCAGGCTGGTGTCATTGGACAGAAAGGAGCTTGAAAAGTCAGAACTGATGGACAGAAAATTCAGAAATATATTTGGTCCAGGAGACATTCATCACCTCAATCCTTCAAAGCCAGCAACCACAGCCATAGAAGAACTGCTCTGGCACACATGTTCTTAATCCTTCTGTGGCAAAACAGTGTTAGAGTCAACATTTCAGGCTGTAACTAGTGGGGGAACTGTACCTGACCAACAGCCAGAGTATTTACACCTTTCTGGTCTCTGCTCTTAGAGGTTCCTAGTGAGCCCATCACTCTGGTACATCCACACCTCAGTCCTGTCTTCAGCTTTTCACACAGCAAAAGACAATGGCTTTCCCTGAGATTTTAAGCAGCCTTAAAGGACCACAGTGGCATTTTTCACTCATTTATATCCACTGTTGTGAAATCATGATGTGAAAATCTTCGCGTTTCAAATAGTGTTTGACTCTTCCTGGGTTTTCACACAGGTAGGGAATGATTACCTTGCACCAGTTGTACCTTGTCCATTGACTCGCTGGGTCCATCTCATGTCTAGCTTAAAATCTGCATAATGAAAAAAAAGCCATTTCCTTGCAATCCGTTCTCCTGTTCAAAGCTTCTCATGTGCCAGGTTGTTGTTTTTTAATCACATAAAATGGTATATATTAATGAGCTCTGAAGTTACATAAAGATAGATCTAAAGCATAAAACCACTAATATGCCCTGTAGCATTCAGTGCTTTGAACACGGAACGGCATCTGTGTGAGAGTGTGATTGCACGCAGCTATGGAAACCAGTGCCAAAAAACGAGGAAATGCTGAACAAGTGGTGCAAGATTGGAAAAAACCTGGGAACAAAGATATTCAATTTGCATTAAAGGCCTGGTTCGCCAGCAGCCTGAAGTGTGCAACTTTCTGCTTTCAAATGATTATTTTCTGGATCTGCTGGCAACGTGTGGATTGTCTTTATCCTGAAAGAAAATTTCCTTCTCCCTCCAGCCCCCAACAGCAATAAAGGGTGAGCTGGTTCCCAGGTCAGATGTGGCTATTCCAAACAGGACAACTTTTGCAGCATGGAAAAGTGCAAGGCCTTTCCTCATCTTTGCCTTCATCCTGAGCAATTCCCTACTCATTTCCCGATGGTGCCAATTAAAAGGAAGAACCCCTGCCCTAACAGTTGTTAACAAAACAAGCACTATCTGAGACTTTAATGAGTAAAACCATACTCAGTCACATAATATGCTCAGGAGAAGCCCAAATGAAAAGAATCACTGCAGTTCACAAACACTTGGGTTGCTGCGTCTTCAAATTATGAATTGCCAGGGTTGGAGATGTGATTTGTGATATGAGGGTTGCCTTCTACTGCCAGGTTCAGTGGGATGCTTTTGAGGCTTAAAGATAAGCACTTGGAGAAACCATTGCAATCAGTGGCTAGGCAGTAAAGTAGGGTAATATGTAATTTATATGAGAAGGTATGTTTCTAATCTATTATTGAGTTAATTGTATTAATCAGTTGGTGGTAACTAGGATAGCATCCATTCTTTTAAAATATATCAGGTAGTGCTGGTTGGAAGAGCTCGCCATCGAGACGTAACCAAAATCACCAGTTAGAAATGGAAGGTACGTGCACTCAGGTTACAAACCAGATTCTCATGGTTTATGACATGGGGAGGCAATGAACTGTTTTTACAGATTACCTGAGATGTAATGGATGAATCTTTCACTTGCGGACCTCACCTCAAGGGTGACCACCTGCCTAAAGAGCATTCTCTACTGCACCCGTATGCAACTTCTGACGGGGGGAATACTGTGATATATCTGAAAATGCTCAGGTTTTTGCCATGATCCTATTTGAAGCCTGAGCACACACCAGCTGGTGGGATTCTACCTCAAAACCCATACCGTGCCCATCAGAGCATAAGCCTGGAAAGAAACAAAGGAAGAAATAATACAAATATTTCAGGCTATTCTTCTATGCTAATGTATGATATTTGCCTCTTCCGTGAACCACCAGCACGGAGCAGAGCAGGTTTCACATGTTTACGTCACATGAGATACTCCAGTCTTTGCAGGAAACTTTACAGTGGGCTGGCCAAGAGGTGGCACTAAAGAAACACTGTGCTCTAGTAATTAAGAGAGGGGTGGGCTTCCCCCCACCTCCCCACCCCCCTCACCATCTTCAGCCCTGATCTGCACAAATGCTGCTGCTCTGAGTACATGACAATAAACAAACCCCAGTTCAAGTTTCTCGGCACGCTCTGTTCTATTTGGGCATATGCTGCAACACACTTGGTCTTTAGGAAAGAACTGGTGGTTCCATTGCAAGGGGAGCTTTAACCCTGACGTGCAAACCTCTGAGGTTGCCTCCCAGAGCTCAGAAGCACTCTCTTGTGTCTGTTTCTCTTGTACTGCTGACTGAGAAGCCTGTCAACATCTAGGTTCAGATGCTCACTTGGGCACTTCTGGTCAGTGCAAATGAGAAACAGTCGCAGTGATCACTTCTACCATGAGCTGATAAAATTCCCTCGTTTTAATTTTGCATCAAAATTTAAGATGACCAAAGCAGTTTATAATTCAGCATCCAGTGCTACAGCATCTCTAACAGCTCAGAAGAAGAGACAGATGCACATGGTCAGGAGTGCAAAGATTTCACAGGACCCCATCTGCCAGCTTCATGCAGTACATGTGTAAGTGCAACTTCACAGTGGGACAGGGCCAGAGAGGTGGGGGTGCCCTCCATGGTACTGTGTCCTGTCAGAGAAATGGAAACAACAAACAGACCTTAAGAGAATCATACTGAAGGACATGGGAGATAAGAGAAGTGACGTGCACAGACCAAAGGTCCATCTAGCCCAGTGCTTTCAGATGCCCAACAGCAAGTACAGGAAAAGAGCAGGTATCATAGGAGAGCATTTTATAGCACATTCTCCCAGAGGGTTTCTGAACAGGGATGCAAGCAGATCATTAAGTGTAACACCCACCGACTTCCAGCTGACATCTCTTCCTTAAACCTTCTGTTCTCTCCACCCTGAAACCACCAAGCTTACAATGTGGCTTGCAAAGCAAAGCAGACGTGCTCCCAGACTGTCTTTCAGAGAATAAGCCTCTACTATGGCATGAGAAGACCCAGGGTAAACTCAGAATTCCCTCTGAGGTGCATGTAGCTCCTCATACAGCCCTCATTGCCAGGGAGTTTTCTGTTAAACTCCTGCAGGTTGTAGCAGTTCTGACAGCAAGGTGACTCCCTTCTGCCTCCCGAACTCCAGGAACTGGGTATTTCTCAGGATCCCCTATAATCTGTGCAGCCTCACAGGCTCTTTGCTGCTGTTCTGTTTACTTTATTATTTATCACGAAGGTGAGACAAGGAACATGAGAAAGATATAGCAGATCACAAAGCAGAAAAGGAGAAGCCATTCGTGGCTGGCTGAACACAGGGCTGGGATTTCCTACAGAAAGTCTAGGAAGGTAGATGGGAAAGATCCTTTGGTTTAGAGGAACCCCTGGTGTTTTGTCCAGACACAAGGAGTCAGTTTAGAAAGCAGATTAATACCGTACACAGGGATTTCTGAGCAAGCAAGCTGAGCCGTGCTTCATGCTGCAATCAGAAAAATTAAAGGCAGCAAAAGGTTACATCATCCAGGTCTTAATCCAGAGATACACGGACTAAAAAACTGTGGCACATGGTTAAATGCTTTGCTGGGTCAGAGACCTAATTTGCTCCCTGTCACTGGGGCTGTCCTCTATCATGGACGTTCTTTGGGCTAATTAAGACTCTGCTCCTAGCCACTGCAAGAGTAGAACCCAGAGCATGAATGCTTTGGCACTTCTAAGTGCTGTCAGCGCTTTGCAGATAACAACAAATAATAATGATAACAACCTTTGTGTTTGAGGTTTGTGCTCAGGGTGGTTTCAGGGGTGATCAGATGTGGCAGAGAGATTGCCAAGCCAATCAGGACAGCCCCAAACAGTGCGAAAGATGCCCCAGATACAAATCTGGATAAGGAGTTATTTTTGTGCACTTTTTTACCTCCCCCCCGCCTCCAACTTCGAAGTGTTCTTGTGGATCATCCCTCTCCTGTTCTTGCACTTTAGATGCTAAACTGTGTCTTTGCTGGGTCTGATTTTATGCTTGCAAAGTACATTTGCTATTTATGACTGATCTGCATGCACAGTTAACTTGCATGCACCTACATGGTGGCTCATGGCCATTAAGGTGCTCTCTTGCTCCTGGATTCACCTTCTCAGTGCAGCTCATTTGCAAACTTACAAGGAAGGGACCATCCATCCTGCACTGCTCCATGTGCAGTGCATGATCCCACTTCCCTCAGGAGCATGCAGAAACACCACTGCCACATAAATAACATTAATTATGCCACAGTGCTCACTGCATGTGCAAATCTGACACATCGTTGGGCATACATTTTGTGCATGAAATTCCACAACTGCTTTTCCAGTAACATGCTCTGCTTTGTTTTATGAGATCCAGATTGATTTTTGAACCCAGTTGAAACATCTCCTATTCCATCACATAGTAAAGAAGCTTCATTTACCTAAGTTACTACAAACATGTATTAAAGATCAGTAACATCTGGTTATTAACAATTAAAGTTTATTTGCTTGTCTGCCTTCCCTTTAGTGCTTTTAAGCTCTTTTAAGCCTGCCAGGACGGTACCTCGCTGGCAGGCTATGGCTGTGAACACTAGATGGCACTTTGCAGCAAGAAAGGTTAAGAGCTTATGCAACTAAATTAAGACCTCATTTATTGCCCTTATTCACAGGGCAAGACTTCTTGCTCACCGTGTCCTCGCCACCTCGTTGGTGCTAATTTAGTGTTTAGTCCACAGAGAAAATTCTGATCGGCTCCCAGACAAATTCTCGTCTTCACCAAGAGATAAATCTCTG